CTGAATGGAGCTGTGGCAGTAATGTAGTTAAATTGCCTATCTAAATCACCGTGTGATCGTAATTTTATTATTACCTATAGGACATAAGACTGCAATAAAGTATCAGAAAGATAGACTCAAAATATACTCAATCATGGTCATGATAAAAAAAGGGTCGTGTTGAAATCGTGCATTGACATATAAATTAGTATTATTTATACTTTTATCTTTCTTTATTTTATATTTATACCTATTTTATATTATGTTATCTATGTTAAACTGTGAATTGAATGTAATATTTATCTAAGCCATACGAAATAAATAAAAAATATAAATTAGTTTTTATAATGTAGTTACAAGTTTTATTTGGTAAGAAAAATAATATTTAGGTAAATAATAATATTATGAGCGTGTACAATGTCAATACCACAATCGATGATAATATAAGTGCGTGTTTTAGTGTTTTAATTTAATATTTATACTAACAACTTTATAATATCCTGATTAGTTGTCCGACGTGTTTGCCTGTCGACATTTTAACTATAGTTTCTACAATATACACATGAATGACAATATATTTAACTATTGTAGTATTGTATACTATAATATATAATAATATGCAAGATGTAAGTATATAATTGAAAATTATAATACATTTTTTTTAATTTTTCATTGTAGATACCTAGTAAAACCGAGATTAAAAATTGAGTGATCAACTATTTTTACATTTACAGTGTCTATAATGTTTATAGCCATCTAGTTGGTATGGGTATTACAATATGTACACGTCCAAATAATATAGAATTTTTAACTCACCTATTGGATCCTATGGTCAGTTATATATGACTATATAGTATTATGCAGATACTTACAAGCCACGTAGAGTACATAATAAAATACGTTTTACGTACGGTGTCGGTTTGTCTGATATAAAATCGCTAAAGTGAGTTCTGTTTTCAAGTATCTCCGATTGTGCGAAAAAAGATATTGGAAATTACTGAATCGTGGTCCTATATACTAAACATATGCGATAAAATAACTTAACGTAACTTAACTTCTAAACAAATATCTACCAAAGCACCAAGTAGTAAGTACTCTTACATGCGAATTTTTTACTGGCGCATGTGTATGTATATAGAACATCTCGAGATCATGGATAAAAGAATACTTGTCATCGGAATACCAAAGTATTGTAAATCGTTGATATTAAATGACATTAATACAGTGTGACTAGCATTAAATATACTAATACTAATTTTATCCCACGAGCCACGATCTTAATCTTGTATTCTTGTATACAATATTCTTGAAACTTATACTCTCTCCCCAGTCACCCCCCCCCCCCCCACCAGTCACTTCTACAGTTCTACACGGGCGGTTTTCGTTTTCATTATCGTTTTACGACCATGTGTACCTACACCACAATTTACGAACAAACAATGTCAAATGACCATATTATGAGATTGGCAGCATTGCACCACCCTGTACAATACAATATCATATTATTATGTACTCTGTGTGGGTAGGTACAGACGTATACAAACAAAATATCGATTTGTGATATTAATTATTACGTATATAGAGAGGATTCCTATAATTTCCTATACACATATAATATCGCATACGGTCCCATGGCCGTATTGGGCGTATTGTTGGTTTAGGTCCTTCCACGTAGGTTTTGCGTATATAATGACTGCGGCGCAAAAGGTCGGGGCGGTATTTTGTTTTTTTTGAACAGTTGTAAAATTAATTCATACAAACGGCCGTACAACCTTTAAACGCTAAGTCCACCGATCGTGTCATACAACGTGATTGTCCATTGTTTCCGCCATAATCTATCCCATGTATAATGCTATAATCCTTCACCATAGGTAGATATAGGTAAGGTAACTATGTAAATATATATATTATATATATATATATATATATAATATCAAATATGTATAGGAGAATTTGATTCGCAGATATATAATTACTGATTTTTTTTTTTTTTGCTTTTTGTTTGTTCGTTACCTATCCACCGATTGTACCACTTCGTTGTTATTCGCGTCACTCAACTGTACAACACGTACCCATGATATTACTTGAACCTTTGGCGATCTAGCCTAACACGCAAATACCATGGCACGATTCACGATGGTTGTAGCAAGTATAAAGTTATAAAAGTTATAAAATAATAAACAGGTAACTATTTATTGTTTTATCATTAAAATACTTTTTGTTTTGACCTATAAGTATATAGGTACGTCTATTACCTTCGTAACTAAACATCTAATCCAGATTTTAGGTACACATCATCTATTAATCTTCTACTGTAAAACATAAAGATAATATGTAATATCTTTTTAAGTGTACCATAGGTCCTAGTCCCTAGGCATACGCAGAGTTCTAAATCAGGTGCGGAAACTCATTTACTGGCCCATTTATTTCATATACCAGTATTTTATTACCTAATTTTAATTCTTAAGTAAATAGTTATATACTTTACCGGATTAATACTATAGATATATATAAATGGATATAGGTACTTTTTTACTATAAAGGTCTATAAATAAAGACAAACCCTGATTTATTAATTTATCGATCTGATGTAATTTTAAATTATGGCCCCTATAAATCTCCAACCTACTTCTATTAACTTCAATACTTTAAAGTGTAATATAATTTATACACAATATATTTAAAATGTATTTTGTATTTATTTGTAAATTATGGATTGTTTAATCATGAATTATGTTGTTCAAAATTATTTTTTCGTTATAAATTAATCATTAAAAATATGTAATGTGACAACCAGAGGCATATTTACAATTTTGACGTCTTAGGTGCAAAAATATCGTCGAGGAGAGGGGCTGATTAATTTGTACACGTTGGTAGTTTAGGTAACTAAAAAAAAAATAAAAAGGTCATCAGATAAAAAAAGCTTAGGTAATAATATCTTATTTTTTGTTAATAATATTTTTTCTAGCACGGCGCCCATTTTACAATTTGTCGCCTGGGGGGCGATTGCCCCCCTTCACTCCCACCTAAATACGCCCCTAATGACAATAAATTTCTATAATAAAAATTATTAACCACACAGTCTTTACAACTAGGCATCCTTGTTTTGACCAAGCCGACGGCCGATTATATTTAGGCATCGCACAACCTACTGCGTCCGTCTGTTGTATGTCCCCTACATAGAATAGGTACCAAAAATCCTGTTTTTGGTTGATATCGTTGTCTCTAGTGAATTATATGGGGGCACTAGTAGAATAATATAATATATATCCCGTTCTTAGAAAGTATACTAAAAATAACGAATTTTTGTTGGTGAATATTTTTTCAACATTATTTTCTTTGCAGATTTACCTTTTTTTTTTCGATCTAAGACATTTAATAATATGGTACCTATACCTATAGTATACCTAACATATTGACACATTTTTCTCCTTGAAAATAAATCCAAACTTTTCAATCCTTACAAATTAACCAGTATTTTAATTAGCTTTCTCTTATTGTTTTAGTTGGTAGTTGACAGTTGTTCACATTTTCCGATTTTCATAATAGTTATTGTATTCCAAATATTTCCAAAATTCTAAAACATTACAGTAATAATAATAATATCAAAGATTAACTGTTTAAATGTACGACTGTCTTGGACTTAAATCAACCGCATTTTTATTAACTGTATCCGTTATCAATGCTCTCAATAATAAATCAAATAGCTAATAAGGTTTAACAATGAAATAAATAATAACAACTAAAGAATTTATAATTTAATCATTTTAATTATTTCACTAATATTTTTTTATCCATGTGCTCATATCAAAAATAAAATCTTATTGATTTATAATAATTTCATTATTTAATAGATTTTGTTAAGTTACAATAATACCATCTTGTTGTTAACTCAACATTAAGTATATATGAAATAAATATATATTCAAATATTGAAATATTTAACACTATAGGGGTATTATAATATTATGTTTACATAATTTATTGTTTATTAAATATTGTATCTATACATTACATTTTATATTTAGGTGAACTCATATAAAATAGTATTTTTCCTAATTGTAACAATACAAAATTATTATTCTAAGAAAAAAGGTATAATAACAAAAAATTTAAGAACCCAGATTATTTTATAAATGCATTACTATATTTTTATTGTATATTTTAATATACAAATTACAAATAAATTATAAAAATCTGTTAAAAAGTTGTATGACAATATAACTAAGTTAAATTAAATGTAGGTATATTTATCAATCATACTATTGGAATTTTTTAATTGTTCAATCATTTTTTTTTTACATACAGAGTGTATCATGAATATAAATATATTAAAAAAACATTTCTAATAAATTTCCAAATATTTATAATACATTCTGTATGTATAGTGTATTGTTATACACTTTATTATATTATATTTAAACATATTAAAGTCTTACAAAAAATGACAAAAATATATCATCCACAAATTTTTTTAACAATAATCAATATACAGCAGTTTATAAATTTAAACAATTATGGCAAAATGAGTATGAAATATAATTCATATTATTATGTAACATTCAAAATGTAAATCATCTATAAAATTATATTTTTAGACTAGATTAAATAGTTTAGATGTGTTTTCATAATTCTGAGTATATAAAAAATATTTAGATAGATCTTGTTTTTGATAATAATAAAGGTAAAAACACAATACATCTACTTATTGTCATAAACCTTAATAAAATGGCAAATATTATTCTTGGTTAATCCATTGTTAATTTACAGTTCCCATAAAAAAAATGAATAACACTAAATCTTAAGTACTAACAGGCAAATAAACAAACCCCAACAATTTAAATATTCTGAACACAAAGAAAAAACTATATCTCAAAAAAAAAAAATAATAATATATATATAGATCTAAATATATTATATAATATAAAACACAAATATTTTAATGGATTAATGAAAAACTAAAATAAACAATTAATAATTTTTTAACTAAAAAAAAAAACATAAAAACAATTTTAATAATTATTACAAAAAATGTGTGCGTCTTATTCATTTTGGAATGTAAAAATTTCCAATAAAAATAATTTACTTTGTACCAGATAATTTATTATAAAAATAACAGCACTTAAATAATTTTAATTTTTCATTCTAATTTTAAAATTTGAGTAATAAAAAAACATTTAAAAAGTACAGTTGACAGAATATTGATTAATGTATCGATAATTAGGTGAAAAATATGTGCAGTAAACTGGGATTATCCAGAAAAAGGATCAAGTTACACAGTGTTCCTTTTAGTTTTACTATTATTTTTGTATAGTTGTTGATTTTTTTTTTTATTAGGTAACTCAAGGCCATACTTTTTTGAAGAGATCCATGAATGAATCATAAATCATGAAAGTTATACCAACATCCAAACACACTCTGCTAAGCCGAGGCACAGTTCCTTTGTAAAACCTAAACAATAATATAAAATTACTTAAAATAAATAGAAAACCATTATTTATTTATTTATTTTATATACAAAAATATTTATCAATAAATTATATTTTATAATTTTAAATACATAAATTAAATTGAATTATAGATAAAATAAAAATTAAATTAATTCTTACGCTGTAGGTCCTTCTTTTTTCCATATTTGAAGCATGCAATCAACTGTGCTCTTATACTTTTTAGCTTCTAATCCTTGCATACGTGTCTTAACAACATCCAATGGTGTATTACCATAAACACTGGCAGCACCTGCTACCATACCAAAAACTCCAACTAATAGTTTAGGTACTGGTTTGTTAGGATCATCTCCCTTGTAAAGATTTTTTAATGCACCCATTACATAAAATCTAATTGCTTGGTTAGTACCTTGTTTCAATATAGTTGGCATTAATCCTTGATAAACACCACTAATACCTATAAAATTTAATAAAATATTTATTTTCTTAAACATTTTTTAAGTTTTTATTTTTATAATACTATAGATATAGATATTATCAGAAAAAACTCCAAATATTATTATCTAATATCATTTATTCTCTCAATAAAATCAAAATATACACTAAACATGTGATGGGTTATAAGTTATAACATTAATTTGATTTTAAATTGTAACAGATAATGAAGCAATAAAAAAAGCAAAGATTAGGTTAAGTAAGTCTTTAAGGGTTTTAAATATTTTAATATATATCTAAATATTAAATTATCAAATGTGAAATCTTACCACCTATTACAAGTACCTAGTAATAAAATATGTGATTAACTTATCTTATTTGGAGTTTTTAGTAAAAAGAATAAACCAAACTTTCAACAGCAAAAATTAAAAAAAAATTAATTTGTCATTTTATGAATATCAATAATTTCTATATAAAAGTGAAGTATACTTATTACAAGAAAAGTCAATATTATTAAACTCAAAAAAATTATAAATTTAAGTTCCATTTTGGTTTTTATATATTATTTCTGTGTAGTTAAAATAGTTTTTAAAACTAATAATCATACTTTTGTTAGTTTTGACCTACAATTTTAAGTTCTATTAATAAAATTTCACACATATTAATGAGTAATGACCATTAAACAAATTCAGTTGACCCATAAAAACTTTCTAGCTTATTCTTCTTTGAACAGTTAAAAATTGAATCATTGATTCGAATAATCATATTTTGAATTAAGTGGAATATCAATTGTGACAGATGTATTAGCCCCTGTATAAGCAATATCACTTTTCATTAATAAGACAGTACTATAAAATATATATAATAATTTATCCTTTTAAAAAAGCAATATCATGTATATTAACTTAAGTTCATGATAATAACAGTTTAATATAATTTTATTTTGTTACTAACCTTGTTCTTTGATGATAATACTGGTCCCATGGAAAAAACCTTTGAACCTAGGTTTTTCTAGCCGTTGATCATTAATAAATTTCACTTTCACGGTTTCCATTGGGGTGACTGCGAGTATGGCTTCAGACACGCCTGCACCAAGACCGCACAACACTCTTTGAGTAGCTGTTAATTCTCCATTGCCTCCAATTTGAGTGCTAAGAGCTTCAAATGCACCAAACCTATTCATAGTATTATATTATTAAAATAAACTGTATAGATAGCTAAGTATTAATTTTAATTTTTTTTTTAATTTTACCTAACAGCTGATTTTGGAATAGATCCATAAAGTAACACACTAAGCCCACGATATAAACCAAATATACCATGGCTTTTTACAGTTTTCTTAACGCAATCCAATATACCATTATATTTTCTAGCACCAGCTTTTTCATCGAGTTGAATTTGTGTTTTTACATATTCAGTTGGATATGTAATACATATTTCTATACCTCCAGTAATTCCACCTTTAAAATAAATAATTAAATAAAAAATTATTTAAATATGATGAATTAAAAATAAATGACTAAATATTTTGTAAAATAATAGCAGCTTATAAATTACTTATCTAAAAATATATTTAATAATTGAAAATAATGGTAAAACAATTGTATATCACTCAATAAATAGAAACTACTAACTGAAGATAAAAATAGTTGTTTATTATTTTTTTTTTTTTTTATTTAATACATAATATAAAGTCCAATTTATTTGGGATTCGTCTTTTAAATAATCCATTTTATTTTTCAAAAATAAATATGTAACTATGATTATTTTTATTATGGTTTAAAAATTGCTTAAAAATTTAATTTACTAACTTAAAAAAAATAAATAAATAATATTTAGCTTAAGTTAAAATTATAATATTGTTTTAATATTATTGAGCATTAAAATTAAAATAAATAAATAATTAAACATTTAAAATGTACATTTATTTTGATTGTGTGAATTTTGTTTATAAAGAAAAAAATTAGTTTGTTTTTAAATAAATATAATTAAATATTATAATAAATTACAAAAATATATAATTATTATTTTTCTTATATTTCTGAAACTTATCTTATATAAGCTTCAATCAAAGTTAGACTCGAAAAAAATTGTGAACTTAATTATAATATAATATTTACAAATATGTACACCATTAACAATAATTATTTTGATATTATGCAGACATATTTTGATGTATAAATAGTTAAATATATTGGCATGTAAGATCATTTTTTAAAAATAATTGAAATTAAAATTGGTTTGTTTAAGATGGTACCTATCATTAGTACCTACTTAAAAATATACAATGATTATGTAAATTGATTTTTAGAATTTCGTGCAGTATGTAATCTACCACATAATTCTGAATGTAATACTTTAATCTACTGTGTACTATGTAACACATTAAATTAATTATTTTGGTCAATTTTAAAAATGAAAATTTTGCAAAAAATACATGGGACGATTTTCCTAAATGTTATATACTCATTTGATTGAAGTCTGGCATAGATCAATACATAAATCTAATGACTTTTTATCAATTTCGTTTAGGTAAGATATTTATTAAGTTTACAGTTTGATTAAAAAATTAGAATCATTTTATTTAAAAAAATTTAATGAATACTATAGAATACATACTTTATTTTATTAACATTTTAATTTATTTTCATTAATTTCATGATTAATTTTATAATAATTTCTATTTGTATTATATAATACTGTTTCTTAAAGATTGTAAAATATAATACATGGTAGTAAACCACAAATGAATTATGATTGGTTAAGTGATATATGTTTATCTTGTAGTAGCTCGTATATTACAAAAATGCTGTTTTTTAAACTAAAATTAGGAATTCATTATTACCTACATAAATCAGATACCTAATTATAAAGTCAATACCTAATAAGAATGAATTAGGTAATGAAATGTGTGAAATATAATTCAAGGTCAAAAAGTATATGCTCTCATTGATCTCAATGACCTTTGTAAACACTATATAACTTTAAAATATGATGCTTATCTAGTAACTAAATTTTTAATTTTTAAAGCATTATCTATATTGACTATATTTTATATAATTATCAATAATATATAATATATACTTAAAGTTCATAACTAAAAATAAATGATATCAAGTAACAATACAAATTACAAATTCAGAAAAATATAACTATTTATATTCAATAATATAAAACAATATATTTACTATTAAATTATAACTAAAATTTTAACTTATATTTATTTTCCATAAAATATATATTCTGATGTTTAAGAGAATGTCATACCCATACCAACACATGTTATCTTTATTTCTAAGACAAAACATCAGAACTATAATAAAATGTATGCAAATCCAAAGCAATAAATATAAGCTCTAGATTAGAAATAGAATTAGTAGGTAATATAAACCTAACCTATAATTAAATGTAAGGAATAAAAAAACCTTATATAATTTACAAATATAAGTAATGTTTAAATTTCATTAAATGGCATAAGGTCAATGATATGTTTTGATATTAACTTTAAAATCTGCTATTATGAGTTTACAAAGAATAACATTTCTATGTTAGATTAGGCATATAAAAGAAAAAATGCACAAATAACAAATATTTATATTTTAGTTTTTTTATAACACATCTATACATATTGGTTGATTACTAATTAAAAATCATTTAAATAGGTACAATTAAAATATAATATAAGTAATGAAAATTATAAGCATTACAACTAATAATAGGTATAACTAATTTATACCTACATAAGCCGGTGCTAATATTCTTTTATTGATTACAGTTTTATGATCAATAATTTTATAGTTTTGTGGTAGGTTTATACATACTATATAAATACTCATTACTTAGTCAGTATTTTCAAAACAGTTTTGATTAATTTTAATAAAGTAGATATTGTTAAATAAAAATTACTAGAAAAAATCGAAGTACGAATCATTTAATTTAAACACATGATATTCTAACAGCTATGTCAATAAATATTTAACCAAAATCTAAAATATTAGGATTAATTTATAGAACCAATTATAGATCACTACATTATGTTTTAGAGATCTCAGTATCGATTTATTAAATGTTTAGTGATTGTTCATGTAATCCAACACAAGGATTTCTTCAATAAAAGAGAACTACATGTGAAAGAGTTAACACATTAAATTATAAAACTACTTTAAATAGTTTATGCTATTTACAAATATTTGTAAATACAGAAAACCTTGAAAAAATGTATTTTTTTTGTTCCTTACCCCATTACACTATCAAAAATCAAACTTTATATTGAATATATTATTTCAAATATTTTAGAAAATATTCTAAAACATTTTACTGTAAACAGTGCATTATAAATGATAAAATAACACAAAATAATGGTTTAACCTTCAATCCATTTTATTGATCTTATATATTATTGATGTCTAACATAACTTGCTACTTAGCTTATGCTTATGAGTAGTGATAGCTAATAGGTAATATTTTATCGAGATATATTTTATATTTTCAGAATAAATATCATCTATACTAAACTAGCATACATCCAGTATCTTTGATGCACTTTTATTAAGTATTTTAATCTTTAAATGTTGAAAAAAGTTAAATATAAATCATAATTTTTTAATTTTCTGAGTAAAAGTATATAAAACAATTAACACATAGCAAATAAAAAAGATTAAAGGATTTAAACAATATTAAATTGTAATCTTCTTAATATAGGTTTTATATAATAGCAGTAACATTTAAATAACATCTTACCAGCAACGATGCCCTTCAGACCCTTGTTAGATCCACCAGCTGGTGCAGCAGCTCCATACGTTGTCATCCAGGGTCTGTAGAAAGGGCTTACAAGTTTATTTTTTCCGTCCATTATGTTAATAATAATAATTTATTATTTATATAATTTAATTTAATGTGTAAAATAAATAATTTAAAATAACTACAAAAAGTGTACCGATAATTAATGTGTTTTTAAAATAATAATTGCTGAATAAAAATCTTTTTTTAAATTAGGAAAAATAAATAATTAATCAATTAAAACTCAACAACCTAGACAGCAACTATGCATAACCATGCTACTTCAAGACGCGACTATTCTATACTCTATAATGCTAAACCCTATAGTTGCGACTTGCCATTAGTCAACGCCGTGTGTGGTTATCTCGAACGAAAACGTTAATGAATTATGATAACAGACCGGTCGAACAGCTGCTGGTTCGTTTCACCACATAGCTCACAATGTCACTGGAAAGTGGAAAAACTTGTCTGTGCGTTCGTAATTATTTAAATCACAACTAATGTATAATATGAATAATACCATTATATTCATTATTATTATAAATTATAATATTAAAATAAATAATTGGTAATTATTATGTTGATATGCTGTTACTTATTGATATTTTAGGTACTTTTTACTTGTGTAGTTCAGTAGTTGTATGATAGGGTATCTCTACCTAGTCAGTGGCCGGCATTTTTCAAATTTCAATCATTAAAAATAATACCGATCATAATACTAAATGAACGGACACATGCTTTAGTTGTGGACGAATTATATAGGTCAATATTTTAACATACCTAACAATTACAGACAAGAGTTTTGTCGTCATAATACTTATTGCGTACAGAGTTTTTTTTTTTAATAAAAACCACGGAAGTTTCCGTTCACCACTTTTTCAGAACTTGAGACAAGCTACCAAAACAAATGGTAGGTGGGGTTAAAAATATTTGTGTCTTGCAAAAGAGTAATCGTTATTTTTAAAATAATTGTGAATGTTTTTTTATTCATAGATTATCATCATTAATTATCTATTTATCGTCTTAGGTTTTATAGATTTTGTGGCAAAATTGTTTTTGAAACAATCTGTTCATCCATAATATCAAACAGTAATTTCCTAACGTTCACAATCGTTATATCAAAAATAATAATTGAAAATTTGTTCGCAATTAGTATGTTATATTTATATCTGCAGTTCGTATGTTACCCCTTTTTAGATTTCGCCCGCAACTCGCATGGTTTTTGTCACTTTTTCCGCAATTAGACAACACCGATATGAACCTATTATTTATTCTGTGGGTCTGCAGCTATGACAGACTGCCCTTGAAAATGTCCGGTCGGCATGGCTATATTATCCAGCAATGGCATCAAATAAAATAGTAACTAACATAACAAAATTTATTCTAATTCAAAAAAATAAAATAAAAATGTTATAATGTCAATAATAACAATAAAAAATCATAAAAATATGATTATTTTCAAAAATATAGTTTCTGTAACGATCTTAAAGTTTAAATTATGAAAAAAAAACATATTTTTAAAAACGTTAATAGCTTTTGGAATAATTAATGTCATATAACATGTTAATTGAATTTCTATTGGTAAAATAGGAAAATTAAATAACTACAATTAGGTACTGAATATAGATTTTTTCCGGTATCAAATATTAAGTATTATTATTTACAATAATTGGTAATTGATATCAACTTTATGTTTATAACCATACAACTATTACAACTTATATAATTTTAATAATTTCTTTGAATAATTTTGGGGGGAGGGGCTTAACCCCTCCACCTGTATGCGACAGTACATCTACTAACTCTTGTGATGGAAAACGGTTGAATAATAAATTGTTTTCTTGTTTAGGTACTCAACTTACAACACAACATAACAAAACGAGTCACAAATTAATATGGATTGTCTGACCTCCGAATAACTATATAGGTAATCCTGTTCATTAATATTATACGATATACCTGAATTAAATATTAATAAAATGGTAAATAAACTGGTAAATATTAAAAATATGGTACATACTTGGTGTTTTAACTATCAATTATTAGCTTATAAATATATTATACAATACAGTTTTGTTTGAATAATTATTTTCTAACTTGGTAATATAAATAAAGTGATAATTATATTATAACTACACTACAGGAATACGAGACAACAATTGTAATTAAGATCTCTGATCTATACTTAATCATTGTTGCAACACGAAAAAAATGACTTATATTTTTATTAAAAATAATGTATTTTATATTTGAATAGTCAACAATTTAATATTTTAAATACATACAAATTTACAATATATATCATAGTGTTACATTGCCTCTAAATAATATTTATAATTATCATTTTATATAATGTACATACAAATTATAATTTGTTCGAAATAAAATATATTTAAATCGGTTTATTTTAGAAAAAAATATGAATATACAATGTATATTAATTGATTATTAAATAACTTGGTACAAATGTTAATCCATTAAGTCGGAAGTTATTTTTAAAAAAAAAGTAACTCGTTACCTATATAAATTAATGAAAAGTTATTTAACTTTTTAGTTCGGTAATACCAAGCCTTGTTTCGTATAATATAATAATATATAGGTACCTACCTAGGTATCTATTTAATATGCTAGTGTCTAATATTTAAATAATACAGATTATGTACATTAGTCACTAATATACACAATAAACATAAATCATAAACCATAGATACTTGAACTTGAGTTTTGTTTCCAAATCAATAGCATAAATGTATGACATTAATATAATAAAATTAATATTCCATTTAAATATTTTAAGTGGTAGGTATTTATAGGAAAAAACCTAATTAATAATTTTACATTACCTACCACTCATTTCGCACACAAACACACAGTCATGAATTCACGAGTAGGTATATTATCATAATAGTAAATATATAAATTTATAGTATAGAATGTTAGAATGTTTTTTTTTGATAGTAATGTGTTAAAACTTATAAGGAAAACTATAGTCTATATAGTTTGACAATTGCCCTGTCTGATTATTTTAGCCGATGTTTCGATAGGCTGGTTGCTAATGATTAAAACTCCCTACTTTAAAAAATTATACACAGGATTCTGTGAACCTTAAGAATTATTTTCTTAATAATGATTTCTATATTTTAGTAATAGGTAAATAGTATTTTGAATAGTTCTATTTGTTTTATTTTTTAATAACTAGAATATTTGTAGACGCTGGATGTATGGGGAAGCACCAGTACCTATATAAAATGTCTTCCTATTACCTAGGATAAGTATGAAGTGGACTGTGGAGCGTGACAACTGACATTGTATGCCGGAATATAAAATATTCAACAGTATAAATGTATTATATACTAATATTATAATCCTATATAATTTTATATTTTATTAATAAAACTGTCTATTTTTAATTTTTTTTATTATTATTATTCCAATGCATCATGCATCAACTAACACAGTGAAAATTCTAAAAATCAAACAATCATTTTAAAATCTTCATCTGTGGACTGTGATTTTTATAACCTCTGATATTAGGTATTTAATATTTTTCACTTCTTCAATTATGTACTTATATAATAGTAGAAATAAGTCGTGTTTAGTAATAAATTAATCAATTTGTTCAGCCCTTCTAAAAAAATTTAAAATTATGATATTAATTATATATTATGCCATCGATGTAGAAACTGTATATTATATTTTTATTCGACGCTCTTTGTCTTAATATTTTTTATAATAGACTATTTGTATTGATAATAAACGGTAAGTAATACAAATAAAATGATTTAAGATTTCAATGTTGTATTGAAATAAAAATGTAGGTAACTTAAAATTATGTTGTAAATGGAAAAAGTTGTTTAATTTTTTAATTGGCCCTTGGTTTTCTATTAAAAACTTAAACAATGCCGATAGATAGCTAATGTATACCTATCCTAAAGTGTTTTAAACAATTTACAATAAAATGCTAAAATTATAGTAGGTCATAAATATAATAATAAATAATAAAATCATAAAAATAATATTATTACATATATATATATATATAATATTAATATATTTATTTTTGATGTTTTATTTTATACCTTCGCCTGTGTGTATTTTTGTCTATAAATTTCTCGGAACAATTCATATCAATCATATCTATACACACCACACGGTCGATATGGGTATAGCCGGTATAGGTGCAAGTAACTGAAATCCAGGTGGCCGGCCGCTATGTTGCACAGTACGTATTAATTAGCGAATAATTGAAATTATTAATTAGTCCAATTAAACGCAATATTTTTTAAAATCCTTTTTTGTTGCTCGGTGAAAGTATTAGAGGAACCACTATACTAAATTTCAAGTCCGTAGGTTGAGTAGTTTTTAAGATAAGCGATCATAGAGTGAGTACATTATTAATATATAATATTAGTACCACGATTCATCTGGCACGAGAGGCACGTTCTGTGCACACACTTAAATAGGTAATATTATTGTGAGTATTCACTATTCATTATGAATTACTATCATGTTAAAAGTAATTAGTTAGTAAACAGTATAGTTTTTACTCACTATATTTTCTTTACAAGTATTTTTTTTAAATTTCATTCATCAATACAATAGGTGTTTTATTAAAAGTTTAAATTTCATGGAAATCAATTAAAAAATTGCTTATTATTTTTGAATTAAGTTGTGATTTTAAATTCTGAATGTGATGAATTCACTAATGATCATCGAGTGATAAATGTAACACATACTTTCTTCCTTTATTACATGATATAATTTTAAAAATGTCTTGTATATTTTGAACTGCTTATATACTTTTAATATTTTCAATTTTATTTTTTTATAAATTAGCTTCTTAGCCGAAATGATTAAATGCATAAAAATATATTAAAAAAATCTTTACGAGTTTTTATTATAGTTATTTAAAATTAATTATGATAACTGATAAGTATGATTTTTTCATTCACACCTGAAATTAAATTTTTTTTAAATTATTTTAATAATGAAAATTATTTTATAATTAAAATTTATAAATACTATCATCATTGCTTTATATAATTTAATATAGGTTTTTTATAAGTAATTTAAATTGAAACCAACAAATTTAAAAATATGTATACACAATTTTTCATAGATACTTTAAGTTTAAATTTGGAAGGAACTAAATATTTAGATGAATAGTGAATCGAAAATACAAATTAACTAACTGGCATAAACAGGGATTAATAATCAGGAAAATAGTTATTTATGTAACAAAAATGCTCTTTTAAAATTAAAAATGATTTCTTTTAGATTATTCTAAACACTTGAATCTATTACTAAAACAATTTTTTTTATTTGGTAAATAAATAAATAAACTGTATTCTTGTTATTATCAAATATTTAATAAAGATATAAATATTAAATACATTTTTGATTATTTTTCAGTACATTATATCATATAATTTCATAGAAATCATTAAAAATATTTTAGTTATTATACACATAAGAATACAATTGAAAAATATTTTCAATAGTTACAACTCAGTAAGTAAACTGAGAAAGCTTAGCAGTCATGAAATAGCTGAAATTTATTTTTACAATTATTTTGTTCATAAAAAAATTAATATGCTAAATATATATAAAATTATAAGCATAATATAGTTGTTAAACTTATAAGTAAATAACATAATTTAATATATTTAAATTTAAAACTATCAAACAATATATAAAATAAAGTACTCGTAGTTTTAATTTTTTTAATATTTTTATAGTAAATTAACCATGCCAAAACTTATCAATGAACCTGTAGAAATACCAATACCAAGAAATGTAATCATCAAAGAACTCGCAGTTTCCTGTTCATGTTTGTCAACAAAGCTAAAAGTAAAAAAAATTGTTTGACTAATATAAAATACAATTAATTACTTTAAAAGTTTCAAAAATGGTTAATACTTACTAGGGGATAGACGTCATTGTGATGTTAGAAACTATGCCATTGGTAAAACCAAAAATTGACATAATAACTGCATACAATTGATCATTGTTTATTAAGACTGGTAAATAATACCGAGGCTTAGCATTACAGAGCATCATCAAAGGAATAAAAATAGTTCTTAAAGCAGATAATATTGCAGCTGGCCAACTACTATTGACTGGCTGTAATATTACAATAATTAATAACTAATAAACATATATGTTAATAATTAATTTCTTCATAAATTACTCCAAATATAAATATACTTGGTTAATACAAATAAATTAGTATTTACCATTTTTATGAGGTTTGACATAACTCTCCCTAAGAAATCACACGTACTGAAAAGTAAATACGCTATCACTGGCAAAAAATATGTATCTAAACATATAAACATAAATATTAATAAAGTGATTTATACTGATTAATTAATATAAATTAAGGTTTTAAATATTTACCTGTCCAGGCAGTGTGTTCTTTGTTTACTGAAGTTATTAATACTGTAACTGCTGGATAAACAGACATAGTGACTAAAAAATTGTAAAAAGTGCTTAAGCCCAATTTCCATATCTATTAAAATTAAAAACAAATATCAAACATGTTTATATAATATTAATAATTTTAGTAAAAATTTTATAATTTGTTCTATACTAATCCCAACAATAATTAATTAAAATATTGTTGAGTTTGTGTTTAGTTTTTATGGCTTAGAATTTTAGAAATTCTATAAAAGTTATTATATAAAAATATTTACCTTTTTTAAAACTGCGTATGTATTAACAGTTAAGATTTGTTCATTACCAAGTAAAGCATATTGTGTAGAAGATGAACGCCTAATCCATGCATTTGCAGGTATGTCTTGAACATAATACTTATAAATATTCTAAAAAAATGAATTTTTTTTTAAATAATTAATGTAAAATAAAACAAAACTTTTAGATAATTCTAGTATTTGTTTTATTTGCTGCCTACAAAAATTATATAACGCGCATGATTGAAAAACATCATAGACTTATATTACAATCTAAGTTATAAAGGTTAAACATGAAATATATTTGCAATATTTTATTACTAGATACATGTGTCAATGTGTGAAATAACATAAAGAACAAACTTATAACAAAAGTCAGAAGGATAGTTGTAATTTATAAAGTATATATAATAGGATATATTAAAATATACTATTTTAAATAATCATTAAGAGACTAAAATGGTAATTTTTTGAGACTATTTATTAATTATGATATTTATAACAATAATCTAAGAAAAATAATAGTTTTCATTTTAATTTAATTATATTAAAATGATAAATTTAACTATTTATTAATATAGGATTTATCAAATCTAGACCTAGTAGGTAGCATAAAAATCATAATTATATGTTAACATTTTTAAACTTTTAAGTGTAATCAATTTTAAATTAAACTATGGTGTATTAATATATACTTACTGTTTTAATTAAAATAGTGTATAACACTAGAGAGATCAAGATGAATATATCAGCAAACAAAAAATAAACAAAGGCACTATGGACAGATGATGCACCCCACCACAAAGCCAATATTTGAGCTAATGCAGCGACAATCCCTCCCAATGCTTGACCACATACAGTTGCTGTCATGTAGCCACTGTCAAAAAAGCTAACTAAATTGAACACAGCACCTTGCATTATAGAACTCCCTACTAAAAAAATAAACAAGTTTTATTAAAATTTTTACAATTTTACTTCAATAAAAGTAATACTAGTTATGTTAACTGAACTTACTGTTTAAAAAAATGACTGTTCCTAAAGTAATCATGAAGAACAATACTTGCCATGAATCAGAATCCAAATTAACTAAAATAGTGGTAATTGTGAACAAAATAAGCATTAACATCAATGAACTGATCATTCGAAAATGTATTGACATCCTAAAAATAATTACATTTATTTTAGCTTTTAGTTATTTACATAGTCTACATAATAAATGTTACTATATTATTTTAATTCTTACTTTTTAGCTAAATATGTATTTAATAATAAAATTAGTGAACTAGGAACAGATGCAGCAATGGTAAGAAAAGAAGTGAAATTAGCTTGAAGTCTTGAATGATCATTATTGTCGTTTGGCAAGAGAAAAATCAGTTGGGTTTCATTTGGTAAATTTCGTAATTTATACATCCAATACTTGAAATTAAAACAAAACAGAAATATGATTAAGTATATGTGCATTGAATAAGTAAGTTAATGTAAAAAATGTATAACCTAAATCCATACAATTATAAAATAAAATACTAAAAAAGCAAAAATAAAACTTATTTTTAATTTAATTTGCTTCATACCCTAATCTTAGATGAATATATGATACAACGAGCACTAAAGATAAAAAATTATAAAACTTACATCATTTGCAGTCATAAAAAAGTACCAAGGAAGTAGAAGACAAGTGCCAAGTACATAAAATATTAAAAATCCGAAATTGTACCTGAAAAATAAAATGTAATAAATATTAAGTATTATAATATTAGTTTATTTACAAATGTCTATTTGAGTGTAATTACTTTTTAAACTTATAACATACATATTTCATTATTTGTTAGTAATGTGCAATACATTTATCAAAAAAAAAGTTTCATAATTTCTAATTTAAGTAACTTATGTAAATATTAATATTTTAACAGACTATTTAAAACTTTAATGAACAATTTTAGGTTTTAAAAATTGTATTTCATACAAAAATGTATTTTACCGGTCTGGTGGTTTTGTTAAGACAGTATCACATTCATTTACAATTATATCATCCACATTTTTATCCAATACTTCTGGAAGCCCAAATAATCTATTGTTAGCAGTATCAGCAAATACAAGAGGATCCTGTTCATCCATTTTTGATACACTTTAATAACTAGAAAATTATTTAAACATATTAATTTATCAATATGTTTATTATACAATATAATCATACAATTACTGAAAACAATAACCATAATATTTATTAGACCCATTGTATTGAAACTTGTTCAAATATGCAACAAGTATATGATGATTAGACAAGTATAATAACTATATCACTAATATAAATTTAGATACTTATATTATTGAAGAATTAAAAATACAAATTTATTATAATAAATGAGATTACTTACTGACTATTTACTAGAAGAAAAAACCAAATGCATCATAAAGCTAATTAATGTTCATATTGTTAAAATTAATCATATGATACTAATATTTATTTCATGCAAATTAAAAATAATTAAACTGGTCAAATGCCAATTAAAATGTTCTAAGGCAATAATAATTTAAAATCAATAATAATTGTTATGGTCGTTGTCCACAGCCCATTACTAGTGTTTGGGCTTATTTTAGACTACCTACTTAAATAGGTACTATACAACTTGTATAGTAATACAAAAAATGGTATTAAAAAAAACTAAAATACCTAATAAATTTTATACAAAAATATTAGTGTTTAATATTAATGTATTATGTTATAAATTTTTATTTAATATTTATTGATAACTGAGAAATTATTATATTGCGTTCAAACATGAACACACACTTGTAACAAATAATAGCAATAACAATAGAATTATAAAATATTTTAAAGATTGTAATTATTATTTATTATTATTATTATATAATACTATAAGATAAGAGTACATATTTGATATTATAGCAGTATTATCAGTTATCACGGATCGTAGTCTATTGTATACATAAAATTATAATATTATGTCTAGGTATTATGGTATGCAGAAAAATAAGTAACATTGCAGATTAATATAATTCTTCTATTAATAGAATATTTTATTAAATAATCAATGATAATACCAAAACAATAAAAATAGTTTCGATAATTCTTACCTAACCGTTTTTTAGGTCATATGTCTACTGGCTATTTCAATACTATCGTAATAAATAAAAAGATAGATAAATAGTAATTACATACACAAAATATATAGATAATTCAATCTATGAACTACTTACTACCCTTATAAATTTTATCGAAATCTATTGGTGATGAGTCATGAGTATGACTGATGGTTCATTGATTCATGATTGTTCGAGTGTGAAGCACTGCAGTGATTGTGACGTGCGCCTTGAAACAAGTCAACCTAACCTTCCCTGCGTTAGGCTGCGTACAATATATAGTGATTACTGATTTTTATTCTTAATAGAATTGTTAGATCTTTAACCATAAATAAATGTTGCACGGAATATACATAGGCATCCTACGAAAAAGTTCCCAATATCAGTGTAGGTACTGCGAAGTGCAAATATCTGTCATTTGTTGAAGTACCTACCCAACTGTCTACTGTCCAGCAACATGCCAATATATTTTATTGATTTGGTACCTAATATATAGGTGCTTTTAACAACAGCCAACCATTAATGATAAGAAGTAATTGAAGAAATTTAATCTATTCTGTGATTGAAGTAGCCGGATGCAGTATTGACTTTTTTTATGGAAGGAGAGCAAGATAGACATTTGTCTCCCGTGGCTCTATCTGATTTTAATAGCAGCCCGATCGATTCCCTGATGGGTTTACGTCCAGTTAACGTTTAACAATTTATGATTGGTAATAAAACATGCTTATTTTTACAATATTTTAAGGAAATAATAAATAATGTACTGGGAATGAAAAATTTTTTCACTTTAATAAATTGGATAATTAATAGTTGGAATATTTATTATTTAATTGTATATAATATAGATCTATGGGGACGTGCATATAAGTAATTGGTATGTTTATGTTGTAATGTTGTACTGTTGTGTGAAAAAGAAGAAATATATTATTGTGTATACAATTGGATTATAGTATTTTTAAGTTGTCTATTTGGGTTAATCAAAACTTTTACTCGTCTCTATTGAAAACTGAAATTATATTATCTGAATATCGGGAAGAAAATGCTAATAATTTTATCAACTAACAACTTGACCAGATTACTGTTCCATTTGATTTGTACTTATCTAATTTTAAAAGACTTAATTATTGAATTTTAGTATTTTTATACCTTCGTTAATTTTATTAACTATCTCACATTAAATTATACCATTGGTTTTTAAATGTACTAGTATATACTATAACTTTATTCTAAAATTATTAATCAATGATTTAATAATTGTTGTTCAAACGAATATAAGTATTATGTAGGTATATTGGTAAGCTGGTGCGTGATAGTACATACTGCCTACCTATTTATATTTTTATGTTTATTGTTTATAGTAGGTATATAAATATTAACTATAATATACGTGTCTATATATTTAAATAGATACCACCTATAACAGTGACGTATTTACTGAGAAAATAAGAAAGATATATATATCTCTCCCTTGGCCCCCTTTTATTTTATTTTATTTTACTTATATTTTTATATGATCGTAATTGTGTTTTTCTCATTTATCACTTTATCCATAACTAATAAATTATCTATTGAGATGTTTGCGGCACCGAAAATTTTAGTTTAGTTGTATCTCCCTTCTGAAAAAAATCCTAAAGACGCCACTGCTATTTAATGTTGGTATTTTATAGTTTGACAAATTACAGTTAAACTATCAGATTGACAAAAATAAAAATAATATTAATTAACTTCTAAATATTTTTAATTATTGACGCTATAATAATAAAATAAAAACGTCTATAATATACATTTATTTTATTTTATACCTACGTATTTACAGTTCTTATATAAAATGTCATATGTCTATAAATAGATCAATAAGAATGTTAATATTTTTTAAATTATACCAATACCATGTATAGCCAATTTTAATTAAAATTACTTAAGTATTTACTGTTGTAATTTTTGAATAGGAAAGTAAATCGGAAATCGCTCAATGAAAATAATGAAAATTTGTTATTTTACATATAAATATACAGAATATCTATTTTGTCAAAATTTAGACTTTGGATGCTCATAAAAAATACTTGTGGAATAGTGCTCAACTTTTTTTTTCAATTCCGGTAAAAATTAGAGTATTTTATTATATTTTTAAAATTTTTAACCGGTAAACATTTTTAAGTAATTTAAAAGAAATCAAAAATTACGTATGTCTATAAATTGTATAGAAAAAGATCAAATATATTTAAAAATCATAAAAATCGCCCCGCCAATTAAATAAAATAAACAAAATAATAAATAAATATAAAATATGTATACCTATATATTATTAATAATAAAAAATTTAGAAATAAATGAATAAATATGTTTATAAATTAAAAAAATATGTATAAATGCATTAGTAAATAAATAATATAAATATAATTATATTGGAGGCCAGAACTCGGATATATCTTTTAAAATGGTTTCAAATGCGTCTCGTTTTCCGAGACGTGTCTCCACATAAATTCTGCTAAATATGATTCCAAAAAATTTCTGTTTGTTCCACAATACTTTTTATTTCCCCATTTAGCAGAACCCCACAACCTCTCGATATTTTGGGTGTGTGCCCATGTGCCCAGATCAACAAAATTATATGTACAATAGTTTTTTTATTTCCCAAAATAATAGATCTTCCATCACGAGCTAAATACGATAATTGTAGGTATAAAACGGCACACTATATGGCGGGGCGATAAGCCGATAACAAACAAGTACCGACAATTTCAAGCTTCTATAGTTAATAGTTATTCATTTTTAAATTATATCTCAATAAGATATCGAGATTTTGTCTAAAATTTTGTTAATATCTACTGGTTTTGTGTAAAAATTTTCGTTTTTTCCTAATTTTTGATTTGTTTTTACCAATTTTTAATAAGATAGGTATAGGACTGCAAATTTTGTACTCATAAAAGTCCAACTAGATTTACTTTTCTACTAGAAAAAATATCGAAGTTGAAAATCTCATTTTTTTTTACTACCAGTTTATTATTTATGGGTATACATATACTATATTATACTAATACATATTATCATTTACAAAAAGACGCACATCATAGTAAAATCTATACACGTATGTTCATTTAAGCATTATGTCAAAAAAAGGGTGATATAAATTAATTGCAAAATATTTTATTATTTGTGCTCTAAGAAATTAATTATATTTTGACAAGACTATATATGGTGAGGAGGTAGGGTAGGGTGGAGCGAAGCCTGGGCAATATTTTTTAGATGAGGTCTATAATAAAGACCATTTTTATAGTATAAAATTATATATAATTTCATTAACGCAAGGCCTAAAATATCACTCAAAAGCGCGAGACCTGGGGCAGGGGCTTCGTTGGTCGCTGCCAAAGACCGGCTCTGGGGTGTGGGTGGTTAAGGATTGAAAATGTCCAGAATTTTCTTGAAAAACATACAATTTAACTAAAACGTTTAAAAACTGTACAACCTGTTATAATTTTCATGACTTCCGAAAATTTATTTTGGAATCTGGATATTGGATATACTACCTTGCATAAATTAATGTAGGTATTAATATTTGGTTTTTTAATTAGTTAAAATTCGTTAACATACGAAAATTCACGCCTTGAAACATTCCACTTCTTTAACTTAATTTAACTTAAAATATTTCCAAAATATTTACACTAATTTAAATCTTTTTTCTATGATTTGAATTGTTTGTATTTCAATGCCAGAAATTTAATTTTTGGTTTGGGGTTTAGCGAATTACTAGTTTGTGTACTACAAAACTCTATTAAGTGTGTAGCGCCGTCAAGTTGTATGACTGTCGCTAACCGTTGATTTTTTTATCACAGAAGAATTTTGACATTTGCTTACATTGAGATTGTGTACGAGTGTGCCTGAAACCGATAAGCAATCAAATCGGTTGTATGATATTTAATTGTCGAGTGTCGACAAATTCTTTGAAAACAGAATGTAATTAATATTTAATAATTATTATTAATTTCGATCTGTCGGCTCTCGCCAACAGTTTTTTTCTTACCTTTTTGTGTCAACGTACTTGTCTAAAATGTCTCATCAGCAACAACAACAATTCCAGAGCATACCACTGGATAGCGTCGAATCGGTAATTATTATAACGATTTATTTAATATTTACAATTAAATCAAATTAATAGTCGAGCAGTAGTTGGTATTTCAAGTTTTGTTTTGAAAAGACGATGTTCGAAAAATTTATAATCTATATTAGCTAAAATGCACAATCTTCATTAAATTTTTAAATTATTTTTCAAGTTTTATAACAATCGGTTCACAAATTAGGTAAATATTTTAGTTTTTAGATTGAGTTTATTAGCAAAAGTATGATTTTTATTATTGTCAGTTTAAATTTGAAAATATATAAATTTCCCTTGTAAATACTAAAAAAAAATAAGCTCAAATCAAATTGTACCTATTTTTAAATTTTTTTTTTTCTTATATCTATGCGATATATTGAAATAAGTACATTTAATGTATCATATACCAACTAGGAATTAAAATATTTAATAAGGCATTGTACCTGCACAAGATAAAAGATATTTTAACCATCTTATTTGTTCTTAACATACTGAAATTGGCTTTCATCAGTTCTAATTTTGTGCATGTTGATTAAATATTAGAGTTAAATTTTTGAGATATTTTAATTTGTTAAAAAGTTATATGCAGTAAGGTATTATTACTTAAAATTCTTATAACTCACTAAAAAATAAAAATATTATAAAAATCAATGAGAAAATACAGATTGTTCTTATCTAAGTTTTTTTAATAGGTATATTAATATAGTCTAATATTAAAATTAACTGTACTAGACTGAAACTGCTATTACTTATATTTCGGTATGTTTTTGCATTGGTAAGATGGTGACAATACATGAGGGGATGATTTCCTCTTAATATAATAACAATCACAAAATGAAGTAGTATTTTATTTAATACTGTTATGATGACTCATTTCAATACTATTGTTTTTTGTCTATAATAGACTGTAAAATTTTACTTCATTGTTTGAAGTGATACTATCTATTAAGTCATTACTTTGGTTTTACTAGCTCTTATAGTAGTATTTATTCATTGATCATAATAAATAGTTATTAATGACTCATACATGTAATTGTTGAATTATTATATTCCATGTAAAAGTAGCTGCTAATAATAATATACTCATAATATGCACTATTAACTCGTACTATCATTCCTGCATACATTAAAGTGATTCTAATTTAGTTTTGAAAACAAACTAATTTTATATACTAATATAATAATAATGAGTAGATTATAAAAGTATCAATATTTTGGATTAGAAATTTATTAGTTATGAAAAGTAGTGACTGAGTTTTTAGAACTCTAGGAGTAAGTCTCATAAAATAATCTTTCTACTCAAACCAGGAATGCTGTTTATAGATTTGACTTATGCTAAGCGTTCCCTACTTCCCTAGCATAATTATACACATATATTTTAAATACTACCTATTTATTAATATTATAAATAAAAATAGTAATGAAACAAACATAAAACCAAACAATGTACTTAAAATATATGTATTAGTTTATGTAATTTTTTAATTTAAAAAATATTAGTTAAATTTAATTAATTATCAAATAAATTAAAAAAAAAAAAATAGTAATAAATACATTTTATCATTAAAACACTTTAAAAGCAACATTTTGTTTACTATTAAACCTAATTATAAATTATTAGTAGTTTTAAACTATAAAGTTTTACAACTCGTAAAAAGGTGATATTAATAATATGTTATGCAATTTAAGGTATAAGTTAATGGATTGTTTCCTACTTTTAGTTATTGGTACACTTCATATATTTTTATTTATTATCCATTTATTTAATGCTTATATTAATATAAATTATGTGAATTATATTGTTAATGTTTATTTAAATTGTAAATAATTATATTTAATATTTTTTTTCTTAATTTAATCTGTTATCATTTGTTTTTCAGCAATGGGAAATATTATTTAATCGCGTAAGTATTAATTTAGGAATTATTTATAAACATTGTCTCTATTCAAATAATTATATTTTAATTAAGAAAAAATTAGTTTGACAGAAATCGTGATGGTAAAATTTCTATTAATGAGTTACATCATGCCTTAAAACGAGGAGCTGGTGAACAATACAATATACCTCCTAAAATTTTGGCTATAATTGCACAAAAAGCTGATCACAACCAAGATGGATACATTAACTTTAGAGAATTTTTACATTTGGTTAGTAACATCATTTATATTTTATGATTACTTGTAAAGTTGTAAAGTTTTATAATTCATGGTTTTGTATGTGATCAGATGGAAGAAGAACCAATAGCTAAAAGTTTGACTACAAATTTGTTAAATAAATATATCCATTATACAATTGTACCAAGAGAACCTCCTAGATTGCGCACTGGAGGATTAGATCACACTGATGGCGATTATGAAGATGAATACTCGTGTAATCCACCAGCATTATGTATGGTTATTGTTAGTCTGATTGAGGTAAGTAAATATTCATCATAAAAATGTAATTGAATTAAATAAAAAATAAAAATATTTTCCTTTTTCTAAATTGTATTATTTTATTATTAATATTAGTTTATGCAGTATAGTTTTTAAATTATTATACATTTATGGCACCTTTTTAAGCCTTAAATTAAATATTATTATTTGTATAAACATTCAATTGAAATAATATTTTGATTGATTATTAATTTATTTAAAAAATAGTAGAAAAGTTAATGTATTCTTAGACTCTATTAAGAATGTAAAATTTAAATTAAATTCCATAAACTAATAATAAACATTAACATTATTATTATACACTGATTAATTACCAAAATATTATTTTTTATCATACATAGGTCATATTTTTTACTTGGGATGTTATGAAATTGAAAACAACAGAGTCAATCCAAGGACCTATGGCTTCAACATTTATTTACAATCCTCATCGAAGACGTGAAGCTTGGAGGTTTCTGTCCTATATGTTTGTACATGTTGGGTAAGATTTTTCAAACAATAATATTTTATGTTGGTGGTGCAAGCAAGGAGAAAGACCAAATATTCACCCGTGTCTTTAGGATAAATAAATGTAGGAAATTAGATTTATTTGAATTTTTTTCTCTGCATATTTTATTATTTATCAATTATGGTACAAAGTTACTTGTTACATAAATGTAATCAATATAATATTTTTAAAATTTCTTTATGATTTCTGTACTAAAGATTTATAGAATATGTTTTTTTTTATTCTATTATATATCAGTTCATTGATTGTTTTAATAATCAAAAACAAATAATACTAGATATAGGTTCTACACTCTGTATAGTGAGGGCTAACACACTAATATCCAATAAAAATTAGTTCTTCTGCTCTTTTTCACATGATATTTTACTTTAATGGAACCAGTTCCGATGACAGGATGTTAAATTTCTCTCGCTGAGAAGAGTATTGTTGATTTTCAAGTATTGAAGCTATAATTGGTTATGGTTTAGTTTTCTGTTTAAGTGGACCTTCGCTTTAAGTTTAAATGCTACAACAAAGTTGTAACATAGGTTTATTTATGTCACTGATACCTAAACAAAAGTAATATTAAACTATGTAATACATTGGACGTATTATAAAACATTTTTTTCCAAATTGGTATCTACAATATATCACAGAGTTTATACTCTGTTCCAAATAAGATGACTTGTGTTCGCGCACTATGGACATAGCTAATGGGTCACACACAAATACATCGGTTAGGTGACAAGACGCGATGACTGGTTTCATAATACGGACAGTGGTGAGTGATCTACTCCAATGCAAACCGAACATAATTCGGTCGTTTGCGCATAAGTCATCTTATTTGGAACAGAGTATAGTTATATTTTCAATTATATCATGTGAAAAGGAAAGATTATTTTCATCGCTAAAACAGATTTAAACATATCTTAAGAATATAAATTCAAAATATCTAATTAAATGGATTAGCTCTCCTTAATTAACATAGATGTCAATTACAGTTTATGAAATTATAGAAGTACTGGCTTTAGAAAACTATGTTAAATTTAGCACTTAAAATATTTGATAAGCTAATGATAATGAAAAATATAATTAATAACTTTATTTTATTTTTCAATTTATATTATAAATATTAAACATTACTTTTATATATTTAAATAATAAAAATATTTTTATTTTTTTGTTGTTGTAATAGTAGCTATTAAAAAACTTTAAATTTGTTGTAGTGATTGGTTATTAAATTATAAAATATTCATTAGGTATATTTATTTTGAACAAATTTGTATTTAGTTGTGTTACTAAACATTTTGTAATGTCTGGGCTCTTTCTTTAGATAACCCTGGTTATTCCTCTAGTTCTTAAACTAATTTATAGTTATATTTTATATCATATTTTTAATTGAACTTATTATAACTGCTAATTTTCAGAAAGACTCATTTGATAGTTAACTTAATTGTACAGTTATTACTTGGAATACCATTGGAGATGGTTCATCGTGGTTGGAGAGTTGTGTTAATTTATTTATCAGGAGTTTTAGCTGGTTCACTAGCAACATCAGTAACTGATCCTAAAGTTTATTTAGCTGGTGCTTCTGGAGGTGTTTATGCTTTGATCACAGCACACGTAGCTACTATAATTATAGTGAGTTTATTTAAAATTATTTTTGTTTTTTCTATCATTGTAATACAGTTTAAAATTTTGTAATATGAAATATATAATGTATAATCATAGCTATGTTATAATTTTAGAGTATAATTAATTTATATTATAGAATTGGTCTGAAATGGATTTTGCTATTTACCAACTCTTGACATTTGCTTTCCTGATTTTCTTTGATTTTGGGTCATCTATTTACAATCGCTATTTTGTTGAAGTGGACAATCAGGTATTTAATTAAATTTTTTTTTCTTAATGATATAATATTTATATAAATCCAATTATAATATTTTTAGATTGGTTATACTGCACACTTGGCTGGTGCAATTGCTGGTCTACTTGTTGGAGTGTACACTTTGAGAAACCTTAATGTTCGTCCATGGGAAAAAATATTATGTTGGTCATGTTTTGTCATATATGTGTTGTTGATAGGTTCAGGCGTTATGTGGAATTTAGTATTTCCTGAATATTTTTCAAAAGAACAATATTAAAAGTTAAAATTATATTAGTATCAAATTGTGAACTAATTTTATGTATTGCACAAATATTTTTAAAAAACAATTTGTGATTTTTATAAAAATAAACTATTCATTTATTATTGTATTAAATATCAATATTTTATATAATAGATCCAATTTCACAAAAGTTATGAGCTTTATTACTTTATAGTTTATATTGTATGATTATTATAATAGTGAATTATATATTATCAAGTTGATGTGTGTTATATAGATTTGTATTATATTTTTTTATAATTTTTTTTTTTAACATGCATTGATACACATTTTTTTAATTACAAAATAACACAATATTTTATTATGTACAAATTTAGTATTTTTATACAAAATATATTTTTTATACTTTTATCTTATCTAATTTTTTTTTAAAATTTTTTAGAATAGTTTATTTAAGTGGATTTAATTTTATAATCAATCATTATGTCTGATTACTTATGCGCATAAAATAATTTAATTTTTATTTGTATGAAGAAAATATTTTTAATCAGAGTTAAATCTAAATAATGATAAATTATTATTTGTATGACAACGAATCTTTAATAGATCACTATAAAATCAAATTTATTTTTATTAAGAAGTTATTTATTTATATTTGATAAATTATTTTATATCAATCTAAATTTTTAATTTTTAGTTTTTTTATTTTTATTTTTGATAAACATCCATACAATATGATACAATTAACAAAAAACCTAAGCTGTTTTTAATTAAGATTAACTATCTAGTATCATTAATGGGCATTGCTTATTTGTATTTATCACAGTTCAGTTTATTCATTCTTAAAAATAGTTATTTCTTAACAACACTAATTGTCCATTTGTTTCAGAATAATACAGTTTTTTATAATTGTGAAACCGTGTTTAATTTGTATTTTATGTTTATTGGTTATGACTGTTAAGAACATGATTTATAACATCTAAATCAAGAGTATAAATTAATAAGTAAATACTTAAGCTATTATCTGTTAAAAGGCATTCGTTATTTACAGTTTGTTATTATTGATGATTAAGTAATTATTTATTAATTATTTAATAATGCTTTAAAATGGTCAATTTACACAGGTATGATAGAAAAACTAGAATAACTATTAAATTTATTAGCACCTACATTACCTAAATTATATGTTTTTATTTATAGATACCAAACAATAATGATACTATTGGTGTTTCCATAAGTATTTATGTTTATACTTTTTTAGTATAACTCAAATTCAGTTGAAAAATTGTTTTCATAATTTTTTTAATAATCAGCTCATGAGTATAAAATTTGGTTTTATATTAAGTTTAATGATAGGATAATTATTACTCTCTATGTAGGCCATTACAGTAGTTAGAATTTTTATTTTTTTTAAATTTATTAATCCAAAAATATTTATGAAAATCGAGTTCAAATCAAATTTTACATACCTACCTATGTTTCAGATATTTTTTTCACAAATATGATGTAATATACCTATAGGAATAAGAGTTTATAGATGGCAAATACCTGGTTAAACGGTAGGTATCTGTTTATATTTATTGAGAGATATAAAAATTTTGTTTGGTCCATTTCTCTTTGGCCATAACAGTCAAGCGCCAGTTGACTGTTAGTAACATCAATACCTACACAAACGCGACATCTTGACAGTTTGACGACTAACTCGACTACGCGAGTCCACGTTGCAGTGTGTGCGTGACCCAGGTGTCGATCTACGTCAGTGGTCTTCAACCGGTGGATCGCGACCCATTTTTGGGTCGCGTAAGCCGTAAGCCTTAAAATTGGGTCACGACAAGTCTTTTTTTAAAATAAAAATTAGATAAGATAAAAAAATATTAATAATATTATTATTTTATAGTCATATAATGGACATCAAGAATAATGTCTTTTTTATCAGGCTTACTTGGGTCGCGAAAAATAAAGGCCTAAAAGAGTGGGTCGCGAGTCCAAAAAGGTTAAAGACCACTGATCTACGTAATATTGTCACCTACCTACTCGAGTTTGCGCTTCGCGATGTCCGGGCTCTCGATATCGGTCGTCGCCAGCCGTTTGATGCTGTTGTCGCCGTTGAGTTTCTTACCGTTGAACGGTTCCGTGTTGAAATGTTCCTTTACGAACGAGAACAAGTAGTAATCGTGCGACGCCGGCACGGTCGTTCTGAACCTGTCCGAAAACGGTCTGCCTGGCAACGGCGCCTGATAGTCGGCTATCAGAGTATTGACGGGCGAGCTCGGCGACGGATCCTTCCACGCCCGCAGCGAGACCACGTGGCCACCGTCGGAGTGGACGTAGGCTAGCGCGTACGAGGCCTTGTTGCCCGGAGCGATGGCCGCGTCCAAGTGGCCGATCAGGGCGGCGCGGTCGGCGAACTGACGGAACGTGGTGCCCGACAGCCCGATCCGTTTGAACACGTCCACCATGGTGGCCACGGACGCGGCGTTCCAGACGCTCATTGGCTTGACGCGGTAGGCAGCCGTCAGCGTGCTCACCGAGCAACCCTTGAACGCGGCCGCCGTGCAAAAGTAACAGTTGGTCGTGCCGCCCACGTCGTTGATGACGCGGAAGTCCGTTTGACGGACCCGGTCCAGGTACTTGACGTCCAGGCCGGTTAACGGCGTGAACCACCGTTGGACGTCGCCGCCGCCCGCCAGACGATACACCTCCAGCACCGTCTTGTCCAACTGGGCCGGATGCAGGTTCCGTTCCGCCACGGGGCTGTCCAAGTCGACCGCTACCGACATGAACGGCTTGTCGCCGGGCTTGGGCCGCAGCGCCTCGTACTCGGCCGCGTCGTCCAGGAACTGCACCGGCCGGTCTACCTCCAGTTCGAACTTGTTCACCTCCACACCGTCCTTGATCACCACCCTGTCGGGGTGCACCTCTACGCCGTCCCTGACGATGGTGGTCACGCCGCCGCGGTTCGGTTGCGTTCGGCTGCCCTGTCCGGCGCCGAACGCGGGTTTCGGCTGGTCGACCGCGGTTACGGTTCGCGGTGGACTGTACGGTTTCGTCGCCGCGGACGATTTGCCGGCACCGCCGCCGCTCTTTTTCGACGCTGCCATGCCGCCGGCCACGTCCGCGCCCACGCCGGTGATCACGTCAAAGTGTTCGCCGACCGACTTCTTGTCGATGTTCACCAGGTAATCGACCATGCCGTACGGCTTCATTTCCTCGTGGTTGGCGATCGCCACTGCCGAGTCGATGTTCGGTCTATCATCCTGAAGTCCGGGCCGGCCACCGGCGACCGCGCCCGCGGTGCGCCCAGCACGCCGCCGACGACGGCGCCGGTGCTGGTCGCGCCCGGATGATATCCCAGCCCGTTCGTCGCCGGCCAGCATGCCGCATGCCGCCCTCCGAGCGTGACCGACACCCGGCGTGCCGTCTACCACCGTCTCGGCGTTTTTCAAAAAGTGCATCTGCGTGCGCCGGGCCGCATCCGCGTCACCCGTAGCCGCCTCCACGGCCGACTTGATCTGCGACACCACCGGCATCTGGTTGGCGAAGTTGATTTGCGTCTGCCGCGCCGCCTCCGAGTCGCCGGCCGATGGCCTGCACGGCCGACTTCACTTGCGACACTATCGGAATGGTGTCCAAGAAACTGGCGTCCGCCGCCGACGACATAAGCAGGAGCAGGACCGCGCTCGTACACGCTACCCTCGTCGGCCGTCTCATCGTGAGGCGCGTTCTGCGACGAGGGTCTCGGTATACCAGATACCTATACGAATTATGTAGGTACCGAAATCGCAGCAAAAGTCTCGACTTTATATCGGACACGTTGCTGCACGACTGATGCGTGCACACACCTATGGAACCAGCTTCTAACGCGGGATCTGTAAGAGATTACCATCTGCTGCAAACCAAAACTCAGGTAATCTATAGCAAACCACTCACTGCCACAATGAATCGCATATAGGTAGATAGTGAAATATAAGATTCTCTATCTACTGCCAAAGGCTAAATGTCATTATGTTATTGTACGCAAAATGCAATGACGCAGTAGGAAATACTTATGTTATGCAATGGGAATTTCGTACGTTGTAATTTTCATTCGTTTATGCGTTGTACGAAGACGGATCAGAGGTTACCCTCATAGTAACTTACTTTTACTTACAATAATCTGATGAAAGAATTAATGTTTTGTATGCTAGTGGAATATTTATCATGTTTAAAGGTGATCTATATTTTACCATGTTTAACACTTTAACAGACTTAGTTGCAATAACACAAACGATGCCGTTATGGCCTACGGGTTATCCCGGAAGTCGAGTAATTTCCATTCGTTTACAATGTGTAGGTCATATCATATACCTACTAGTTATACAGTTATAGTAGTTAGTCAGTAGTCACGTTTCGAACAAAACTTTTTATTCAAAATTAGTGTTTATCTATACCGTGCGATTGTGATAGTCAAAGTAATCCCGCGTTTTAGAACGCAGGTCTAAAGTACAAGATTTTGACATCACGCTATCGGATCATGCCACCGATGATGCTATATACCATTTTATCAGTGGCGGCTATCTCAACAAATTTGACAGGTGCTCACTTAAAAGAACTAGTACCCCCTACCAGTTTTTCGGATAACCCAAAAATATGAATTTCATAAAATTGTAATACCTACCAAAAGTTAAAGTTTATTTTAACGTGGTTTTTAATATTTTTAGAATTAGTCATTTATAAACTTTTGGGTTTTAAAATGCATTTACTTCACACATACTATGTACCAAGTCTAAGTATGTGTGAATACGTTTTATCAGGGGCGTGCCTAGGGGAAGAGTTTTGAGTGTTCAAATCCCTCCCACTTGAAATTTTAACGAATTTACTAAAAAAGTATTACTTAATATTTGTATATATTTGAAATTAATGCGTTGATTCTAATGAAGTGGTGAGAAGGTTCGCTTTAACTTAACACCTATAAAACAAGGATTCATTTTATACATATTTTTTTTTTTATATTATCTAATATCTTTTCTTTTTTCTTTTTTTTTGAACCGACGACTGACGCTGCGGGGACTGCTTGTGAATTACTTCTACGATTATTTAATACTTGTTATCTAATATCTAATAATATGACGAAAAATTATTCAAAATGTATTTTAATGTAGGTATCATAAATTATTATTATTGTTTTAATATTACTATTGAATAATACGACATGATCTGACCTATGTATAATGTATATATTGTATATACCTGTGCCAAATTAATATCTAGTAAAATAAATACACTTGAAATACGTGTTATAGTAAAAATATTTAAC